GGGAAGGAACTTAATACTCTGAGACTGGAAAGCTTTGATCATTTGTAAGACTGACTGTCAAAATCACACCTCTGCCCTACTAGGTTCTTCCCTCCTATGTGTTTATAAATCAGCAGTAAGGAAGCCTCCTCCAAACTTCAGGCATTGATAAACTGATGGGATTCTTCATATATTTGTCTATCAAAAGTCCAGGTGACATCCATAATCTCTAACAGCTCCCTAGGAATACGCCACGATCTCAAGGACACTTCTTCAGCTCACACACACATTCATTAAACCTTTGCCATGCAAACAAGTAAACACTCCATGCACACAGAGGTGAACAACTCATGAAATCATTAAAACCTTGACAGCATGTAGCACATGGAGCCACAGTAATTTTCAAAACAAAAAACTTGGACAAAGTTGAAATCAGATTGGAGGAAGAGCTTTGGGTGTTTTGTTCACTTACCGTCACGCCATTCCAAATCAAAATATTTTGTCATCATCATCATGGGTGCCCATTTTTCTCTTGTATAAATAAATAGTAATATATAGAGAAATATAAATTATAAATTATATAAATATTATATAAATATAAATAAAAAGTAAATACTCAAAATGTAGCCGTATTTTTTGTGTGCTTTAATAATAGGAAAAAAGCAAAAACACAACGAAACATTTCCTAGGAAGGACTCAAAAAGATCTTTAGCCTTAGAAGTGGGAATAACTGAAAACAAAAACAGCTGCATTTTTTAATAACTTGTTCCACAGTATCACAAGCAATACAGTCTTGAATCCTTTATGAGAAATTCTGACTTCCCAGTAAATTTCAACATGCCATGTTGTGCCTTGCTTTTCCTTCTTCGCTCTTACTTCCATGGAGCTATTTCTGCTGTATCAAACCCTGAACATTTGGAGATCACTCTTTTTTAGGAGCCTCCACCAGCTGAGAGATTCTTCTTCCTTCTTCTGAAAGCTGACCCAAGAATAAGTTGCTTAAGTTCTTTTGAAGCCGTTGCCCTTTTGCAGATTTATTTTTGACAGTTACCAGTTTTCTCAAATAATAATATTCAGTGTAAACTACAGTGTATGTTTATTCAAAGCACTGGTTGTCCATCTAATACAGACATTCAGTAATATTCAATTATTAGTCCTAACTGAAAACTTCATGTTATCAAAATGGAAACCATCCAGTAGTTAATTGATTAAAAATAACAGAATTTCAAAACAATTATTGTTTACTGTTATTCATGGCAAAAATTGGGTTTTGTGGTTTATTTCTTTTTCTTTCTTTCTTTCTTTTTTTCTTTTTTTCTATAAAGTACCACAAAATAAAGCAGCACTATCGAATGCTGTCAAATTTGTTAAGATGCAAAAAACCACTGCTTTCAGGAGAGGCTCTAAGGAGCTCTTAAAGAGTCATGTTATGACAGTGCTTTAGCTGCTATCATAAATATTTTGATAGTTGAGTCATAGGGAAATTTCTTGTTTGCAGGGAATTTTAGGAACTCAGCTGAAGTTCTACAATATTTATTTAGCATTCCGTGTGGCATGTTAACAAACAGCGTAACTAGAAGGTATGTTTAACCTCTGTAGAGTCACAGTAATTTTGCTTCTGGAAAACACAGTTTTGTTTTTTAATTTGTGAGGTTAAAGTCAACGGAGTACAATCAGTGGCTACTAAGTGTAAGGCCAGGAGAAGTACTGAGTTTCAATCAGGCAATTAATTAACAGCATCTTTAATTAAAGAGTGTGGATTTTTTTACAAGGAAAGTTGTAGGATCGTTTGAATTGTCTCCTATGTAGCTCATAGGTATTGTTACATTTTTAATTGGCTTTCCTGGTTTGAATGTGCTGTGAAGCTCCCAAAAGCTGCTGCTTGAAGAAATCCCATTTTTCTCCTCATTAACTGTGCTCCTTCTTTGGCATAAAATACCTTTTGAATCTTTCCTGTAATGTAAATGGCTTCTTTCACTACTTGAGTTGCAGACCAAATCTGTTTTTGGAATTGTTACCTCATTATGAATTATTGCATAGATACAGTTTCCACCTATTGTAAAGTAAGAGGTTGGATGTTGTTTGAAACTTTGCAGCTTTCCTGGTATTTTGGGGAAGGTAAACAAACCACTGAATTAAAAACTTATTTTACGTCCTTACGTTCGTCCAGTGAAATTGTTGGAAAAAGATCTGGATAGCTAGGACACTCCATTTAAAAGCACTTCTTTTCTATATTAATTTAGCTAAGACTTTCAGAAGAAAACAAGAAAAAAATTCCACAATACCTGTAATATTTTCACCTGGCAAATTGATTCATGGCTACCACAAGAATTTATAATCCCAGAGCACCAAGAGAAGTAAATGAATTACCTACAGCAGTTGCAGAGTTTTTCTTGTTTCCAGAGCAAGTCCGTGGGCTGTAGCAGTGATCCCAGCTCCAAGTCCAGCTGGAGCGAACTGGGCCTTCTCCCTATTTATCAGTTTGTGTGCATACGCTCGGCTCCAGACAATCTGCAGAGCAATGCTACAGCTCTGAGACACGAACTTCCCACACAGCCTTTCCTGGGGTCGAAGCGAGGGCAGCTGCAAGCCCACATAAATCAAATAATAACTGGGTCATCAGGGACAGAGGCCATGGGGACCTTCACGTCATGGTTTCCCAGAGTTCTCCCTGACTGATTACCAACTATTTGCTTTCTTGGTAGAATTTGAAATTCTCCAATTCTGATTGCTTAACGTTGACATGCCTGAGTGTTAATGGAAGATGTTCACTGCTTTGCAGAGAAAATACTGCAGTGGTATAAATTGAGTGTATCTACAAGAAATAATAACTGAATTTGTAGACAATTGATTATGTTGGTATTTTGAAACACAAAACACTGAGCGTGTTCTACCAGTTCTGATTCTAACATACCTGTGCAGATGCAGCATGCAGAGGATTTCTGCAAGTTACCATGCTTTCCATGGCTCTGTGGCCTCATGCACAGCACAGTGGCATTACCCTTCACAGAAGAGCCGTGTTTGTGTTCAGCAGGTTCCCAAGAACAGCGTGTTACTTGTTTCCATACACTGACAACATTCAGGAATCCATGAGCGTGCCTTTGGAATAGGAACTGTTGAGTTTGGCTTGTAAGGGAATAAAAAGTTGCCTCACAGATGTTATTTGAGCATTTGAAAGGATTTTTGAGCTTTCAAATGTGTTGGATTGGTCATGTGTGCTCACCAGGCACTGAAATGCAGGGGTTTTGAAGTATGGACAAAGATAACAATCTTGTAAATTAAACAATGAACAGCATTTGTCTTCCCAGTAAAAGAACTTTATTTGGAACTTTCTAAGATATCAAAAAACCCAACACCTTCAATAGTAAAAATGGAAAGTTTGTAATTGGTAGAATAGAGACATTATGCATAGCATTTCTTTCTCAAATGCCATTGTCTATTTCATCCATCTTTTTTGTCTGTCTCATGAAAAATAAGCAGAGATTTACGAAATGATCTCTCTTCAATACTATGGACTTCTAAAGCTTTTGGGGCATTTATTTTTTATTTTTTATTTTTTATTTTTTATTTTTTATTTTTTATTTTTTATAGAAGATAGTTTACTGGCAAGCTATTCAGATATGCCAGTGAGACATAGGTACTTCAAGCCTACTGATTCCAAGTATTTTAAGTCTGAAACCCAGGTTTCCAGAAGATATCTAGTGCTGCTTCTGCTCAGTGCTTTAACAGCTACTGGATCCAGAGTAGATTTCCAAAATATCTATACAAGAACCTAAAACTAATTTGTAGAAGAAATTAGTAGTAGAGTTCCACATTAAACATTAGACCATGCCTATTTACTCCTGTCCATGTGGCCATCTTCACGGTTGTGGTAATAAATCTACTTTGCACAGTCAGTGATTCAGACCAGAGTAGTGGTCCATTGTAAATACATTTATTTGCACTATTTTAGTGTCCATTCTTCTATTCAGGGCTTAGCATGACAATAAAACATGGAAGATGTGAGAACCCACTTGAATCACATAAAGAACTGCTGCAAAGAAGAGAAAAATGAACTGTTTTCCATATTTTTAAAGAATACAACAAGCAATAAAAAGCTTAATTAGGAATTAATTGGGAATAAGGAACAAAATAAGGAAAAATCACAGCAGTAAAAATATCTCTGGAATAATTTCTTATACAGAATTCATTACTGGAGATTCTGAAGATCAGGTTGGACTACATCAGAGAACTTAAAAACCGCTACCTCAAAGTTATTTGGATCCAGAAGGAAGAGAAAGGAATGGTAACATCTCTTCCAGCTCTAGTTTCTGCAATTTGTTTCAGATTTTTAAGACAGTGATATGCTCTCTGATTAGTGATGTTCCTAATGCCGTTTAAGTGAGCAAAGGAAATCAGATAGATTGAACACACTTTGCTAGAGAGGAAACAAAACGTTACTCGTAGGTATGGACTGCAAATATTAGCTGAAAAAGCTTCTGTCGTGAGTGGAAATCCAGAAGTGCCAAGGAAGTGGAGAACAAGGGGCACAGAACACCTTACACTGCACCACTCCTGCAGCCTCGCTCCAGTGTGAAAACTGCAAGCTTCTGTAGAGTCTCATCTACTTGGGAAGTCCTCCTTTCTGCAGGTAGGGCTGCAAATTTGAGGAATGCTGAAACTGCAGATTCAGAGAAGATCTTCCCTACATAGGTGCCTGTTGAGAGAACTCATTTCCAAGGTACGGAGAAATCTGCATTCATCAGAACTCGTGATTCAGGATCTCTGTAACTTGCTTGGTATTTGAACAGTTAAAGGAAATCCTATCTACTCCAGCTGGGTCTTCTCTGCATAACTGACCCATTCGGCTTGATCTGGTATTGGATTGTTTACGTAACTTCAGTAATTAACCACTCTCAACCTCATTAATGAAACATAAACCACCTCTTCTACTCATTTATTAAGCCCTTGTCAAACAAAACTTAAACAAAGGGCAAAATCTCAGCAAAGGAACAGTCCAAAAGCTACTGGGATCTGCCTACAAGTCGTTATGGCCACTTTGTTGTTGTTTTGCAGTACAAATTAAACAGAAGCGATGGCACTGTCTATTGCTTTTGGCTAACTTCTCACAAAAACATCTGAGGTCTGTCACATGAGGGCAATGATGCCTCCACAACTATTTTGGTCATTTCAGTGCAAAATACCGATGTTCCAGTTCATTACTGTAAATCATTAAATGATGAAAGCAAGAGTCAAATACTAAACAAATGGGATACTTTGGAAAACTAATTGCTTATTACAGTGTTCTTTGTTATATGTGAGTTAAAGGTTACGTTGAAATATAGGTTATTTCATTACAGGATTGAGTTGTTCTTGCTAGCAAACTGTTCTGAATAGTATTAAAAAGAGTATCAACCAAAAAATCAGATGTGCTAAAATGTTCTAAGTTAACCTTTACCTATTTTTGTTCTAGAGAAATATTTTAGAGGTGGACTGGCAGACATACAAAAAAAGAAAGAAATGGCAAGTTTTCTGATTACCTTCTCTTGTAGATAATTTGTTAATCTTCAAAAGATGCAGTGGTTCTGGCACTGCTTTCTGCATGGCATGGATGAGCCTCAGCCCTGAGTGAAAACCAGTTTAGGTGGTTGTTATTCTAAAGTGTAATTAATCAAGATGTTTGAGGGACGCATTTCTGTTGTCAGCATCTGCCTCTTTTGCCTGCAACAGGGATCACCTTTGTCTGAACACTTTTAACTACCGAATTGAGTACAAAGGGTCAGTGCCTGTCTTGTCCTGAATACAGCCTCATTGGTTGGACTAAATTGCTTAAGATCCAGTGTAACACTTCTAATAATATTAATATATATATGTGCTCTTTGTATGATAAGTTCACATGTTTTAAATGTGCTAATTTCTGCAGCTTCACAAAGTGTGTGTGACATTTCCTTTGAGCACTGGTTTGCACAGCTCTTATCTTCCCTACAAGGAGCTTTTTGAAGCAGTGTTATTTATTTGCATAAATTAAAGACTAGCAGTCTTCATAGAGCAAAACAATCTGTTTCAGCAGGGGAAGGAGCGTGAGACTGGTCAGGGAAATTCATCAGGCAGTGCCTTTCAGTTTGAATTAATACATTATTATGAATTATTTACTTTGCTGCCAGTTTCTGGGTACGTCAAGGGCCTTACTTGGTGCACATTGTTTTGGAATCCTCAGGACCTGAATTCATCCCAGCTTCAGTGCTGAGAATTCAGTGTTGTGTCTGATATCAAGCCCTTTAATTGCCCTTCCTCTGCTTCTCTGGTCTGCCCAGAGTTCTTTCAGATTTTCCAACTGCGTGCTTGAGCCTCCTAATGAAAGATACTCAGAAACACTTATGTGTTTATTCCACCACAGAAATGCTATTGGTGATTTTACCAAGATGGCCCAGAAGTGGGTTTGGTTCTATAGCAGCTTTACTGTTTTGGAGAGCCTCAATTTATATCTATCTAGCATGTATTTTTCCTGCTAGAACAAATCCATGTTCTGTTTGACAAAATACAGTCATGTGCTTAAGAGTTATTAAAAGCATTAAAGCACTAACCTCTTGTAACCTCATTTTTCACTTTGTACACATACATAAGTGTTTAATCGAATTGAAGTTAAACACTAAGATGCTTGAGAGGCCAAATTTATACATTCGCTTCAGTTTATACAGAACTGATGTGATAAGCCAAAGGAATTATAAGACACCACTACTCTGAAAACGCTCATCCGTTGATTTGTTTAAGCTCTGTTGCTACAGAATAGAAGTTCTGGTGAGAAGCATGCCTAGCATTTAAATCAAGGAGTTTTGTCCTACTGGGATCGGATCGGCCCTGGCGCCACACTAAGCTCATTCTGCTGTCCTCTGGAAGTTGAACAAATGATTCTGTGTCAAGAGATGGGCTGGAGAGAGAGCGAGCCACGTCCCTGAGCGAGGACACCAGACTGAGAGCTCTGCAGTGGAAGCACAGTAGGACTCCATCTTCTTTTCAATCTGCATTTTTATTTTAGATGGTCAGAAACCCACAGAAGGGCTGCACGGATCCTGAAATGGAAGCCTGATAAAGCAGCGTCTCTCCCTTGTCTCCACTTGGTATGAAAGGTTAGCATGTTATCTCTGAAGCCAGGGAAAAGTAAGCATTAAATCATGCCCAAAGGGAAGTAGAAATGCAAGGAACAGAGCAGAACAAACAGATTCAGACATACAGTCCAAGTGCAACTCCTGCTGAGATCATTCCTGCTGCACAGGACTGCTTGTTCTTTTATCTGACTTCACAGCTGCTATGAATTGCAATTGCTGGTGCTACACTGATCTTACTGGGTACCTCCATCTGTAAAACAAAATTTGAATGCTACAGGTTGCAAATTTGATATCACAGACCTTCCTTAATTAGAATAGGGTGAAAGGTGAGAAGATACTTAACTGGTATGAAAAAGGAATCCTGATGACAACTACATTTTTGTTGTGTGTCTGTCTCAAAGGAGATTTAAGCTTGAAAGGCACATCCTGCTAACACACTGCTGAAAATACTGCTTACAAAGTTGGCACTATCAAATAAAAACAACGAAAAGTTAAGCAGCGGAGACATCACGGGTTGCTAACGGTGGTTTCAGTTAGCAAATAACAAAGAACGAAGTCAGCATTACAGAGCTTGTTATTTTAACTTGAGTAGAGGATGTTTACTGTTTGAGGGACAAACAAGAATACAGATAAGATGTCAGCTCAACAGACCTCAGCCCAGAATTTATCACACACTGCTTAAAGGAGTTTTAAATAAAGATAACCAGGACCCCCCATGGGTCACGGCCACCTGCCCTCTGCAAACAGCGCCCATTAACGGCTCCTGGGCTGCAGCTTTCCATGTGGTCCCCTCGTGCTCTGAGAGCCACCTCGTGCGTGAGAACAGGGAGCTCTGAGAGCCGTCTGTGTGCGGAGTGCCGGCACGGAGAATCACAGAATCACGGAATCACCAAGGTTGGAAAAGACCTTTGAGATCGTCCAGTCCAACCATCCACGTATCACCAATAGTACTCACTAAGCCATGTCCCTCAACTCAAAATCCAACCGTTCCTTGGAAATCACAACACACAGGTTAAGACATCGATCTGATGCAGGTTTCTTTGTGCTGCTATTTTCGTCGTGAGCTTGCCTCCCCTCAAAACAAACAAACATAAAAGCAAAAAAGACAGTTGTATTCTCCTTTTGAAATGACACCGTTAACAAGAGCCCCGTTCCCACCCACTCACCCATCCATCCACCCATCCCTCCCTCCATCCCTCCATTCCTCCATCCCTCCATCCATCGACCCCGCGGCGATGTGGTGGTCAGTGCGGCCGCCAGGCGGCGCCGCGGGCTCAGCGGCTGCTCCGGGTCTCCACGCATGCGCAGCTGCGGCGCGAGGAGCGCGGCCCGGAAAAGGCGGCGGAGCTCCCGGTGCGGCTCGTGGTTCGCGGCTCGTAGCTCGGACTGCCTCTGCGCGGTCCGGGGCGCGCACTGCCGGCCATGGGGCCGCCGCGGGAGTGAGCAGCGCGGCCCTCCCTGCGCTCATCATGACCTGCACCATCGAGAAGATCCTCACGGACGCGAAGACCCTTCTGGAGCGGCTGAAGGAGCACGACACCGCAGCCGAGTCGCTCATCGATCAGTCCGCCGTCCTGCATCAGCGCGTGGCCGCTATGAGGGAGGCGGGCGCGGCGCCGGTCGAGAAGGGCAGCGCGGCGGCGGCGCCCACAGCCGCTTCTCGGCGGGGCCGGAGCGTCCCGGCGGATGGAGCGGACGGCTCTCGGCTGCGGCCGCACATGTTGCTGTGCCAGGAGAACACGCAGATCCGCGACCTGCGGCAGGAGAACCGCGGTGAGCCGGCCCGGATGGGCCCGGGGGAGGAGGTGGGGGGCCGGGGCCGGGGCCGCGCTGCGCTGCGCTGGGCGGCTGTTATCGGAACGGTGCGAGCGGGCTGCCGGCTGTCAGCGCGGCGGGGGGTCGCGTGGGGCCGCCGAACGGTGCTGAGGGCAGCCGGGCGGCCTCCGAGGTAACGCCGTGCTGCGCTCCGTGTCCCTTAGCGCTGTGGATCTCTCTGGAGGAGCACCAGGATGCGTTAGAGCTGATCATGAGCAAGTACAGAAAGCAGATGTTGCAGCTATTGCAAGGGAGAAAAGGTGAAGATGCAGAACCCGTCCTGAAAGTTCATCAGGCCAACTCTGTGGTAAGGTGGGGTGGAGTGGGAGGGGGAATAGGAAACTTGCTCTTACTGGTCTCCTTTCATGGCCTCACTGTGCTCCAGGATGTGTTCTTTGAAGCTCTGGTTCCTTTAGTATATTTTTTCCCTGCATTCTTTTTACAGCATCCGGGTTGTAATGGTTGTCATAGAGGATCCTGACCAGCACAAGCCTTTCATTGCCCACGTGAAAGCTTGTTGTGTGTGCATTGGGTTACATTCCTTGGGTTAAGCTTTAATGAATCACAGAATCACAGAATGGCCTGGGTTGGAAGGGACCTCAAGGATCACGAAGCTCCAACCCCCTGCTGCATGCAGGGCCACCAACCTCCCCATTTCATACCAGCCCAGGCTGCCCAGGGCCCCATCCAACCCGGCCTTGAACACCTCCAGGGATGCACGGGGCATCACAGCCTCTCTGGGCAGCTGTTCCAGCACCTCACTGCTCTCATAGGAAAGAACTTCCCCCTGAATGGCTTTGCTTTCACTGAAGAGGACCACATCAGAGGTGTTATTGTTACTGTTGAGCAATTGTAACAAAGGGAAAAGAGCCTCCAAAATCCCTGTAAGCTGAGGTGTTCTGAGGGCTTAATAAATGATCACTTCCAAATACTTTTAAATACAGACAGGCAGTACAACAGCCTAACCTGTGTGTGTAACTCTGTGTGTGACATAGAGTGTCTTCAGGAGGCCAAGGAGTGACTGCTGATAACTGTCTTTTGGTTTACATTTAGATATCTGATAATGCAGTAATGTAGGGTATGTGATTAAAGGTTATTGTTAGGTATTTACTGCATAAACATGCATTTGTAATGCATTTATAATGCATGTTTATGTGATGAGAACATAGCAGGCTGGCTCAACCTAACAAGATCTCATATCTTGCGGGTTTTTTTGTTCAACTCTTTTGTGCAGATTAGGGGTCTTCCATTGCTTGCTTACGTGCACAGATTGCTTTATTGATGAAGACTTATAATTTGGACAAAACTTCTAACATTCCCTATCACTGTTTTTGCTTCATTGTAATGGCACAGGAATACAAAGCTGGAAAGACTTTGGAGAAACCTCTTCTACCATAGTGGGATATACCTAGACTACTGTCTCCTTCTCTGGAGATGTTCAAGTCTCGCCTGGACGCCTACCTGTGCGACCTGCTGTAGGGAACCTGCTTTGCAGGGGGGTTGGACTCGATGATCTCTATAGGTCCCTTCCAACCCCTACAATTCTGTGATTCTGTGAAATGCTAAGGCAAAATCTTCTGTACTTCCTACTAAGTTTATGAATTCTTTCATACTTTCACACACTTACGACTTCAGAGAACAGACACCACCTTTTAATATCTTTTGATATTTGACATTCTTATTTAACCATCTTTCTGTTTGACAGACACATCATTCTCAGATGATGTAAACTTGTTCCTCCAGCTCTCTAGGTACTCTAATCTGCTTACATGTTCGCTCAATATTGGAATTCAAAACTGGGTTCTCTTCTAAGGTGGCACATCTGTCTTCCACAGGCAGAGCAGAGTAGTTGTGGGCATTTATTGAGAGGAAACCACACCCTATAAAGCTGTGACATTTCCCACAGTGCCTTGTGATATCATATTATGTTGTAATAAATGCTTCAGAGGCTTCTAAATCCTTGTTTTACAACTCTTTGTGAATGGCTGATATGTTTGTGTTCACATGCATGAGTTCCTCCCTACGAATGTTATTTTGGAAATGGAATATTCTTCAGATAAGAACTAACGTTGTGTTACGTGTTGGAATAGTTCTGTGTGAATTATACACTTATTTCTGAGCTTTAAAAAGAAAAAAAGGCAACTACCAAAGGACTGGGAGTATTTCTAGACAGACTCTGTTGGAAACTAATGCAGGAGATAACAGTCGTCTTTGTTGTTCAGTGGTTTTGTTTTTGGTTTGTTGTTTTATTCAGTCTTAAAGTTTTACTTGCATTTGTGTCAGATGTTCTCATAAATCCAGTCAAGCTTTTCTAGCAAGGCAGTGTAGAAATTGCCGTATACTAATTGTATTCACTTGAGCAGGAATCTGATCTCTTAGTCCTTGTCATACTTGAAATGATTTCCATGTGTGTGAAGGTGCAGCACTGACTGTTCTGCTCACTGTTTTCACTGATGGCTGATGATAGTGGACAGTAAGGTACATGATGCTATCTTAAAATGTTGCATAAGCAGGGAGGATTGTGAGTGGTTGGGAGAAAAATATTGAAATTCAAAATAGGAAAGTAGTCCAGAATTAATGAGATGAAAGTAAATGATTCATAAGGAATATATTGCTACTGCTTTTGCCTGAACGTATTAACTGTGGTTTTTTTTCCATGTCTTTCAGGAAATTGAAGGTCAAATAGATAGAATATGTGAGATGGGTGAAGTGATGAGAAAAGCTGTACAAGTTGATGAGGATCAGTTTTTTAAGGTTCAGGAGAAACTAGCTCAGCTGGAGGTAAGAGCCCATGTCATTGCTAAGGACAGATCAAGCTTTTGGAGCTCTAGACTTGCTCTAGAGTTTGACTGTGTGTGTCAGGTACTTAATAACAATAAAAAATGGGGATGGTGGGTGAGGTTGGGAGGCAATGAATGTTTTCTGTTTATTTTCAAATTCGTGGTATTTCTATCATTGTAATAATAAAGCCAGAAGTAAAAGGTGTACTTTAAATGATGTGGTTCACCTCTTGCTAACACTGCATTAATGTTTGAGTTATAAAATTAGAGTTCTATTAGGCTATGAAGGTACGGGGCTACTTAATTAAAGGTCTGTAATTTTGTGGATTAGCTCATCTCTGTTTCAGCCAAAATATTGATTTTATTTATTTATTTATTTATTTATGCAGCTTGAAAACAAAGAGCTACGTGAACTATTGTCAATCAGCAAAGAATCTTTTGAGGTCAGGAGAGAAGATATGCGTGACAGTGAGGCTTAGGTCACAACATATCCACATCTTGACTTCAGAGACTGTTATGAAGCCACCCAACAGGGATGATCTGTAACTTGTTCTTTCAGGTGTTTCACGTTTGTTTTACCTATCCAAATGTGTGGCCTGTTTTCTTCGTTATTCTGAAGTCACACACTCCTGATGACAAAGGCTTGCATTGCTGCTCTGTCATAAATTGCAGCGTACAAATGTGTAACAACGAAGTACTTTTGGTGCATACTCTTTTGTGGCAGTTTATCTCATGAATGTTATTTTTTGTAAGCTTTAGTCAGTAATTCCAACTGCGCAGATGTCACTTAAAACTGCCTCATCAGTATCTGGCGAACGCAATGCAGATTCTGGTTGTTTTATGTGCTGGAAAGAATAAGATAATTCGAAAACTACATTATAAATGATAGGTTCACATCTTGCTTTGTCTGCACAGAGTGGGCACCTGGAGCTTTTGCTTTGCTTTGAAGACCCAACACTCAGTATTTGGTAACATTCATACATGAAAAACTGCTAAGAGCCAGAATATCAGATGGCCAACAGAGCACTTTAATTACTAACTTTCATCAGGAGTATAGTTTGCCTTGATTTAGAGAAGACCAGTGAGAATGACCCTTCCTCACACATCAGCATGTTTTTTTTTCAGATCTTGGGGTTTTTTTTTTTTTTTTTTTGCTGTAGGCAGCCCTGTTCTTTCTTTACCTGTGCTTTGAGGTGTACGGATGCTGGTCTGAAAGCAGTGTGCTCACGTCAAGGTAGTTTCTATTACAGAGAATACAGTGCTTTCAGATCAAAGCTTTTTGGCCTCCCACCACTTTGGATTTCAGGAAGGGTGAGGTGTGCCTCAAACTAAACCAAAACCAACCACATGGACAGGTTTTTAATGTCACGTTGCAGGTAAGTCTAGTGACAGATGTTAGTTATTCCAAAATCCTATATTGGTTGAACTTGAAGTTGCAGTGTAGCAGGATTTTATCAATATTGTGATGCTTTCAGTGGCATTTTAATGTTTTTTGGTTTTTTTTTTTCGGTCTTTCTTGCCAACGATCAGGAAAATAC